TTATGAGCAACATGGAGATATTATTATGGGAGAAAGAAAAAAAACTAAATATATGAAACTTTGTTAAAATGATAATTACAAAAATAAACTCTATGAGAAAAATGGAACCTATATTCAAATCTTCAGTCTGAATTAATTTCTACCACATTTGGAGGCAGATTATCAAGTCATTTAAGGCTGAAGAGTTTAAAATCATATATATATATATATATGCACACACACACACACACACATATATATATATATTAATTTGAATCTATTTTCATGACTTATTAGCCCATGTTTGATGGGAACAATATACCTCATAGAGTTATAAGATTGGGTAAGATATCATATTGAAACCATTATAGCTTTGGCAGCAGCCTCACTCATCCTATTCATATTTTCAAACTTCTTTCCAAACTTCTTTCAAACTACTCTTCTAATGCATATACCACACATAGAATATTAACAAAGACTGCTTTTGTATATGGTTAAGATTAAAATGTGCATGTGCTTCTCCAAAAATCTCCAAATGTCACTGTGATTGTTTAACCTAAGTACATGTTCTAACATAGAGTGTGAGGTCTGAATTAAGAACATTAGTGTTTTATCAAGAAGTTGAAGCTTTGGTATTTTCCAGGAGAATATCCGTAGGTTTTGAGACTATCCTTAGAATGCGAATAGGAAAAAGAGAGTGAAAAAAGGTAGCCAATACAGAAACAGAGGGGAGAGAAAGAGTAAGGAATGCATGCAGTATCGTCAGTGGGGTTAATGCACACAATAGAATAGGGGTGATATAAACATAAGGGACAACAAAATATATGTAGATGTGCATTCATTAAATAATTAATTCCTCGAATATATGCTGAGACCTAGTGAGTTCCAGGTACCATAGAGGTCAAGGTGTCTAAGTAGTGAACAAAAGAGACACAGACTAAGTCTTATTGGTCTTAAATGTACTTGGCTAGACAGACATTTTTAATAAAACAGTGTGCAGAGAGTTACCTGATTACAGCTGTGATGTGTGATATGAGACATGCAATAGGCAGCAAAAAATGCTATTGAGAAGCATAACAAAATGGGGGTGGAGGGACAACATAGTATTGATAGCCGCTGAAAGCTACTATGAGGGAGACAGGGACACTTGTAAATTCAGGCCCCTTCATAAACAAAGAAAACAAGGCACTCACAAAATTTTCTCTTTTATTTTTGTCCTACTAGCATTCAGTCTGATATGTTGCAATGACTTCAACTCAGGACAACTCCTTCTGAAAACTCACATTTCAAATTCTCAAGCAGATTGAGGTTATCCAGCATGAACAAACCTACCCTATCTGCTCTCCACTTCATCATCTCAGTGTCTGTCTGCAATAAGTTCTTTCAGTAAAATCTTAGCAGGAGGAATTAGTGTTATTCCCCAAAAAATGGCATCCCAGTTTTCTTCTAATTGTCCCAGGGTTTGAACAGGTTTTCAGTATATAGATACATATAGTTTATCTAGTACATATAGAGAGAGTATATCTAGTATATGTAGATATATATATTATATTTTAATATATACTTATATATATTATATATAAATTTTAATAACAAAACAAGTATTGAATGCATTTTTGAAACATTTTAAATAATATAAGTAAAGTGAGAATTTATTTTGTTCCTCTCATCACCATCACAGGATACTCCAAAAGAGCCATTATTATCTTCAATTTCGTATGTTTTTGCACATACATAAAACAAATTGCCTAAATGATTTTATATTTATTGATATAATGTATTTAAATATATATAATTCATATATATAATTAAAAAATTTGATATATCTTGCTTAAGCTTTAAACACCTATCAATCTGTGTCTTTTTGTTGTTTACTGCTGCAGAATATTCCATAGTATGAATAAACTTTAGTTCATTTAAATATTTACCTATTAATGGCTAGTTACTGTTTTGAAAACTCTATTTTAAACATTGCTAAAGCAAAAGTTCTTATTCAAGTCACTATGACCATTAGCAAACATCAGAGTATTTAATCTAGAACGGTGCTAAGGATTGGATTTTCTGCATTAAAAGAATGTATACAAAAAAATCATACTATACTAATTTAGATTGCAACCTGTACTGTATGAAAAAGTGTGTTCCCCACACACTCATCAACATGCAACATTTTCACACTTTCTGACTTTGACCAGTTGGTGAGCATTCCCTTCCTCCCAGACTGCCTTTAGTGGTGAAGCTGATTGGTTTGAGGGACACTATATCATTGGTCCTAACTCTATTAATATTTTCTTTTAAGAAAGAGTTGGATCAATGCCTGGCGAATCTGCTTGGTCTTAACACTGTAGATGATGGGATTGAGTACAGGTGGCACCAGAAGATAGACATTGGCCAGGAGTAGGCGGACAGCAGGTGCAACGTGCTTCATGAAGCGATGCACCAGTGCTACGCTAATCATGGGCACGTAGTACACAAGGACTGCACAGATGTGTGACATACATGTGTTGAGGGCCTTCCGCCGCCCCTCACCAGAGGTAATGCCCAGCACTGTGTAGAGTATCAGCACGTAAGAGACAACGATGAGCAGTGAGTCCAGCCCAAAAGTGGAAGTGACAATGCAGAGCCCCAGAATGCTATTGGGTCGAGTGTTCCCACAGGGCAGCTGGATCAGATCTGAGTGCAGACAATAGGAGTGAGAGAGGGTATTGTGGCCACAGAAGGGCAGACGCTGCAGGAGAAAGGGCAGTGGGAACATGAGCATCACACTCTTCAGTCCAAGAGCAGCACCTGTACCAGCAATGCGGGGCTGGGTCAGGATGGCAGTGTACTGCAGTGGATTGTAGATGGCCACAAAGCGGTCCACAGACATGGCCAGCAGAACTCCTGACTCCATGATGGAAAATGAATGTATGGAGAACATCTGCAAAAGGCAGGCTTCAAAGAAGATCTCCTTGGCACCAAAAAGGAAGATGCCCAGCACAGTGGGCAGTGTAGACACAGAGACACCAAGCTCTGCAAAGGCCAGCATAGCAAGGAACAGGTACATTGGCTGGTGCAGAGACATGTTTTTCTTGATCACAGCCAGGATGAGGCTATTGCCCGCAAGGGCCACAAGATATATGGAGCAGAATGGAAAGATGAACCATGGGTACAGTGCCTCCAGACCAGGGAAACCAGTCAGCAGAAAATACTTTGGGGTGAATTGACTGCTGTTGAACATTTTCTTATGTCTGGAGTCTGGGGATCTTGGCCTAGGCAGATGCAAAGGATCTAACCTGGGGTAAAATACATAAAAGTTAACAAATTATAGACTGAGAAGGACCTGGAAATTCCTCTGCCTATAAACTCATTTCCTTCCTCCTATTCCATATCCCAGTCCAATTTGGTCTTCAATACAATATAAATGTGTGGAGTCATAGAAATAGATATCTAAGATAAGATAATAATAATATGTATTATTCACAGTTCAAACTAATCTCCACGATGTATATAAGTGGTAAGAATTTAATGTTTACCATTTCTCTAGCAAGAAATGGTATTGAATAGTTTAAGAAGACACGGTTGAAAAGACATCAACATAAAGAAAGCTGTAATCTATCAGATATTCTATATATTCCCATTAGAGCACCTTGAATTTTCAGGGACTAATGAGGACAGGAGACAAGAGTAACATTGCCTCAGTGTTAGTGTAGAATTTCCCAGGAAATAAAGACTTTAAATGCCCATCCCCGCCACTCCAAACAGCATCAAAGACTGCTCTTTTCTGGGGGACAGAATTATCTGGATTTACCTGGATCAAATCTGCCTAAAATGGGCTCAATTCTCCATGTTCATTTCACAATCTCTTGCAATGAGCACTTTGTTTTTTACACATTGGAGAGAGAAAAAAGTAGAAAATAGTCTATGTTACAAAAGTTAATGGAAAGAAGTATTTTTGCCCACTGGAATTCCTGTTAGAGGAAAGAAGTGTTCTGTCCATTGAAAAATTCCTCTCCCATTGCCAATTCACATATTAAATCATAGTTAATCAATGTTTACTTGTGTGTATGGCACGATGGGAAGGAGTATGTATCATTCAGACTATGTTTCTGAAACTGCGGAAATGATAGCATTTTTAATGAATTACGACCCCCAAATTTTAATTCATGATGTCACTTTAATTCATGATGGCAGAAGTGCTGATGCCTTCCCAAACCCTGCCTGAGAAGGCGAGTTGCATCTCTTTAACATTATCCAAGAGAAATCCATCTTACAAGGAGCGAGGAAGAGACCTCTGCATGCCAACCTGTATCTGTGAGGAGACCTCCATGTCTCAGGATGGGAGGTCAATCAAAATCTCTGTATTAGATACATACTTGGAGGGAAAGATACATTTATCTTATATTCTTATATATTCTTTATCTCATCAGATAAAGAATATAGGCCTGACTCCCTGCTGGAAACAATTTAAAAAACATGACTGGGGGAAATGTATTGGAGATGAGAATGCTAAAGGTACTGAACGGTGGGATAGAATTGAATCTTCAGCCATGGCTTTAAATCCCCATTTTCTACTTTGTAGTGGGCTGATTCTTTGAGCTTGACCTTTAAATCTTTGAGCTTGACCTTTAGAATGGCAGAGGGTAATCATATCTGTATTAAAAATTAAGGGGGGTTAATATAATACTATATACAAAAGAACCTTATCAACTGTACAGTAATTATCAGTTACAAGAAAGTAATACTGGCCATTATATCTTTAGGGTAGATCCATGACTTCTCACTAAGAGAGAAACTTTACTGATGACATAAGGTGTTTCTTGACTCCGAACCACTCTGATACTCTGGGTCTTACCGGTTTTGTGATTAGGGATATATACTCCCTTTCAATGCCACCCTTCCATGCCTCAATTCAGCCTATTAGTAGTCTAAGTAATTTACTTTCTATTTATAATCTTGATATTTTGACATGGTTTTAGAAATTTCCTTTTATTGATTAGAGTGTACCCATTATTTTATTTGTATATCTTATTTATTACTTCCAGATATCATGTCTTGAAGTTTTAGATTTCAGAGCAACATGTTAAAGAAGTGGGATTGCTGATTGGTGCATCAGATTGTCTCAATGGAATCCTGGCTCAGGCACTTTCTGTCTGGCTCATCATTTCTCCATCTGTAAAGCAAGTCATTAAAAATGAAATGTCCAATTTTGAATCAAAAGTATAATTTATTATATCTCAAACAAGAAGCAGTACAATTAACCAAAGTACATGCTTCCACAGTTTTGCCATCTTAATGGTAGCTTGTTTATGCCCCCAACAAAGAAGCCTGGAGAGGAAGGGTGATGAAATGACAGAAGGTCTTTTCCACACCTTGTTGAGCATTCACTATTTTTTCCTTGCAAGAAGTGGTCCAAATGTGGAAGAAGTGGTAGTCAGTTGGTACAAGGTCAGGTGAATATGGTGCATGACACAGAGTTTGCAAGTCCAGCTTCTGTAGTTTGAGCAGCATTGTTTGTGCGACATGTAGTCAAGCTTTGTCTTGCAAGAAGATTGGCCTGTCTCTACCAGTTTCTGCTGTTTAATGGCAAGCATCCTCATCATTTCATCCAACTGGTTGCTGTAATCAATTGACCTGGTTTCATGAAGCTGTAGTGGATAATACCAGTGCTGGACCACCAATCAGACACCATTAGCTTTTTTTGATGAATATTTGGTTTTGGACTGTTTTTGGCACTTCATCTTTATCCAACCATTGTGCTGAATGCTTGAAATTTTCAAAAAGAATTCATTTTTCATCAAACCTAACAATAGGGTATAGAAATAGTTTGCCTTTATGTGTTAACAGCAAAGAAAGGCAAGCTTCCAGACGATTTCTCTTCTGACACTCATTTAATTCATATGGAACTCATCTATCCAGCTTCTTTACCTTGTCAATTTGTTTCAAATGGTTCAATTTTGTTGGAATAGTAATGTTAAACCTTGCTGCTAATTCATGAGTAGATTGAAATGGATTCACTACCACGATAGTTTTCAGCTCATCATTATCCACCTTGGTCTCAGGTCATGCATGTGGCTCATTTTCAAGATTAAAATCACCTGAATGAAACTTCTCAAACTATCGATGTATTGTGCTTTCATTAGCTACATCCTTCCCAAACACTTCATTGATATGTTGAGCTGTCTGCACTGCATTGGTTCCATTACAGAACTCATATTTGAAAATAATACAAATTTTTTACTTATCCAGAGTTTTACAAAAATTACTCTAAAAATATGTTAGATAATCAGAAGCCAAAAATGTATGTTTGAAAGACTGAGGATGTACCTTCACAATAAACGTAAAATAAAAAATGTAAAAGGGAAATGTCAGGGATAGAGTAACTGTGCAACTTAGTACTTAAGGAAATTGGACATCTCATACTTAATATCCTCAATCCTATCAAGACCTGTATGCTTACTTGAAGCTTAAACAAGTTAATGTACATGGAGCAGTTAGCATACAATACTTGCAACAAATGCAATTATTGTTGGTGTAAATAATAATTATATCAATGGTATTATGAATTTAAGTCAAACATTTAATTTTTATCCAAGCATTTTTTTTTTTAGTTTACTCATTTTTCTCTCCGTCCTTGTGGATAATATTCAGTTTTTGAAATTAAGAAGTTTCTTAGTTGTCTAAAATTGTCTAGATTGAAGATATTGATTTTTTATCTTTAACCCAGCTTTATTATACTGAGACCTCTCAATTGTCTAGAATGACTCAAAGAAATAATTTGATCCTGCTTCCTGAAGAAGAGACATTGGTTCTCACACATATTAGAAAGTTCCACTACTTTCCACAATCTCCTCTGAGCATTAAATAACAACAACAAAAACATTTGCATGAGAAATAAGTAACTGTGTATAACCACCATTGTAGTACTAAATGCCATCTACCATGTAAAAGGAAGCAGGTAAATATTTGAGGGATGGTAGGCCTGTCCGTGACAGGGGTTACAGGGGACAAGTCATCTGGAATCCAGCCTAAACTCAGTTTTGTCATCTTTATTGCCTGTTTGCTGGTACGTTATTGTTAAGGACATCAATAAAAAAGTGAATAAGGCCTGTACAAAACATCACATGTACCTTATAAAGATATATAATCATTATGTAACCATAATAATTTTAGAAAATTTTAAAAATTAAAAAAGTGAATAAAACTGATTTTAAAATACCTATCTCCTAGCACTTCAAGATAGCCTGGTGGAGGGGATGTTAGTGGCATATGAACAAGGTCCATAAATATGAATTAATAAGAACAGTGATTTTTGTTCTCCTGTGCCACTGTGTAAAATGAAAGAAAAATTCTATCTCATATATGTATCTTCTCTGAATTACATATTAATACTTCTTAGTGCCTGTGAAACTTCACTGAGGATATTTAAGTCCTTGGCTTGACTCCTGTATAAATCCTGACACAGGATTATCTTTCTTTGCCTTTTCTTTCCTGGATATTACTGTTTGTTTCTCTGATTTTTTTTTTTTTTCTGGTTGCTGTTATTATTTGCTTTGCTTTTCTATTTTTTTTTTCTTTTCTGTTCTTTCCTATATCTTCCTTTAGCATTCTGGCATTCAGTTCAACTAAAAAATTTATTTTAAAGCAAAAAGCAATGTCCTTCCTTGTTTTATAAGATCCAGCTCAGATGTCAACTCTTCTGCGATGTCTTTCCCCACTCATGCATCACTCCATCACTTCCTGTAGCGGCCTCCCACAGTACTCGGTTCTCTATATTGCAATTCAATTGTTAATATGACTTTCTCCTAGTGATTTGCAAGCTCTTCCAAAGAAGTACTAGAGCCTGTATTTTCAGCATATCACCAGGGGTTAATACAGGAGAAGGAAAAAGAAGAAGGAGGCCAACAGGAAAGAAGGGATACACTAACACAGTGATATTAATCTAAGCTGGGAGTTTTGTGAAAGTAAGACTTTGTCTTTTATCAAATAAGGGTCTCTTTGAGGAAAGAGAAATAATTTAATATTTTTTACTTCATTATACATGAGGAGTTGTTATTGTAGGAAGTCACAGACCAATGCTAATAAGTGAGGTGTGAGGGTAGAGTGGGAAATGTTAATATAAGGAGAGGTTAAAGCCTCTCCTTATGTGGAAGAGGGCAAAAAGAAAAGGAGATAAAATGTATTAATTTAGTACAATGTATCAGGCTTTCTGGAAGTGTGCTTTGCATATGTTATCATTGTATATATCATTTTATTAATTCCCCCAAATCCTCAAATTGACCTAATCATGCCCATTTTAGAACATGGAAGAGTAAGAAATTGGTATTTCAAGTGCCTTGTCAAAGTCACAGAGCTTTGTGGCAAAACTGAAGTTAGGAGGGAAAGAAAGTTTGAACAAGAGCAAGTGATGATAGCAGATGAGAGGGGGAGGTGGCGGTGAGGATGGTTCAGCTGAGAGAGAAATGAAGGAGTGGCAAGTATTGGTCATCAGGGGAGCTGGGCTTGCGAGTGAGCAGGTCTTCAAGGTCACGTCACTGGCTGCATGAGATGGAGGGGACACGACTCTTGCTATGGGAGGCTAAGGAGAAGAGGATAAACAAACCTAAAGAAGGAAGACAGATTTAAAAACAGAATCTAGTATCTAATATAAAAACAAAACAAAAACAAAACAAAACAAAACAAAAACTGGAATTAGGTACAAAATGGAGGCTTCCCTTCCCCAGATTTCCTAAATCGAGAGAGAAGAGCTGGATAAGACAGACTCCAAATGTTCTGCCACCATGAGAGACTTTCTGCCACACAAAATTCTGTGTCCTCAAAGGAGAAGGAATCTTTCAAGACATGAGGAAAAGGGGAATTAAATGTGGCTAGAAATGAGCTGCATCTCAGAAGAAAAACTTCAGACAGGTTCAGCTCACCTGAACAGATTTTTCATCCTCCTGATCCCATAGCCTGGACTTCCATAATCCACCTGCAGTTCAGGGTAGTTGGTCTCAGGCCTCATCTCCGGCTTGCCTGCCAGAGGCAGTAAAGGAGCTGACTAGTTTTTGTATTTATCATGATTCCAGAACCTTTCCCTCTCCGTCCCCCAGTTTTGCTGGTTGATCCACTGGGAAACACAGGCAAAACAGCCTTAGAAGAATGTGCTATCTCGGGGCCTACAGGAATAATTGGGCCAAGAGCAAAGGATCTCAGGCCTCTCTGGGGAGTCATAAGACAAATTTTGAGAAAATACAGAACAAGATGTTTGTGTGTGTGTGTGTGTGTGTGTGTGTGTGTGTGTGAATGATTTTATGTGCATATACAAGTGTGTATGTTTATGTAAATGTACATATGAGCACATATTTCTTTATGTATGTAAATGCAAGTATATGAATAATCATCCATGCTCCTTTATGTTGAATTTTATTTGCAAGTTTGTATGAAACTAGGAGCATATATATCTTCCCATATATACGTACCAATTGAATGTGTGTGCATTCATGTCTTTATATGTATATGCATGCATTGCATTTCTCTAAACACATATATATTTGTATAATATGTATCTTTAAACATCCTTCTTAAATACTCTATTTAAATACTCTATTTAAACATCCTTCTTAAATACTCTTATTCATTCTAGTATCTTAAACCTTATTGGTTATGGTCATTCTTGTGTCCTACTGGTACAGGCAGCAATTACTTTGTGCTGAAGATGTCAAAGTGTGACCTAAGAAGTTCTGTGAATTTGTATATTTTACTAAAAGGCTGGTTTTTTCCTTATGTTAGTGACTCAAGGACACACCTTAATCATATCACCACATACAGGTTTGACATAATTTTGATCTCAATTTCTCTCTGTGGTTGTAATCTAGGCTTTTATATCTCTCCTGGGTACATTTTCTTTGTTGTGTGGGATCCTGAGGAAGTAGGACCCTGGTTCACTGCGTTATTATAATTCAGGATCCGACTCATGCTACCCTCTGCACTGAGCTTTCATGAATCACCCACAGAACTTGAAGTCGAAGAACATGATTTTGCTGACTGTTTTCCCTCTTTGATTTCACTTTTTAGTTGTGAATATATGAATGGTCTCTGAACCCTAGTTTCCTTTTCTTTGAAATAGGGATAGTTGTACATTCTTCACAGGGAAAAAGGAACGTTCAATAAGAAAACATAGTTGAAAATCCTGAAAAAAAAAAACAGTAGGTACTAAAAATCTTAT